TTCAGCGCTCTAATTTTTTTTTGTACTTAGCTTTCACCTTTACGTTAACGATGCTTTATGAAATATCAGTGTCCATTTTTTCTCTTCTCTTTTAATAAAAAATATTTGCCATTATTAAATTTTGTATTACAAATAAAATATTCAAACGGATATTGAGTTTAATTCTGTTAAAATGACAATTTTTTTTACAAAAAACTTGCATCAATCCTTAACCACTTAATAATAGCTGGAGCAAATGAAATATTCCTTGTGTGGTTAAGGATTGATAATTAAGGAGATTTGTATGAAGATATCGATAATTATCGATTCATCGATTGATTTAAAGTTCCGTTAATAGTCAAACATGGTTAGCATGATTGTCGGACAGACTAGTGCTTCCGGAATGAGTCGATTTTCACTAAATGATTCCTTTTTAGAAATGGAGAAGCTGACTGACAAATTTGCAATTAAATCCCGCCTTTTTATTTAGTAAAAGTAAGGAAGTATTGACGTAAGTTTTTTGTAAAAAAAAATTGTCATTTTAATAGAATTAAACTCTATATCCGTTTGAATATTTTATTTGTAGTACAAAATTTAATAATGGCAAACATTTTTTATTAAAAGAGAAGAGAAAAAGGACAGTGACATTTCATACGAAAGACTAGAAAGATAAAATGAAAAATAGTCTGAACATTTACCGGTTGTCAGTCATTGGCTCGTCAGAACTTGATTGAGGAATAAAATAGTAAATTTACGTACTGACAAAAAAGACAGGAAAAACTGTTATTAGACATATATTAAATACGGAATATCAACATGCAGATTATATTAAGTCCGAACAGCCATTCCTTCTGCTTACACAAGCAAGATTGGATTTAATGAAATACCGCCTTTTCAATTAGTATATTGAAGATATTTATGTGAGTTTGTAAAAATAATGTCATTTTAATCGAAATAACTAGATATCATTTTATTTAAAACCAAAAACATAATAATTTATCCCTTTACAAGGCTTATTCCAAAAGCTTGATCACTTCTATGGTGGTTTCAAGTTATTGTTTTATTTTACTGTCTTGTTATAAGATATTACTTCTATATATTGCTTTTATAAAATATTAATATTTTAATTATTTTTGATAAATTCTTGTGATGTGTATTCAAGAAACAAGAAGAAAAATTCAAGCAATTGATATTAAACAATAAAAATCACTTTCAGAAATAAAACCATCGCTCTGGGATTGAATGTTTAACACTTGAGCAGATTTTTTAAATTCTTTCACCCCCCAAGGCGATAAAAGGATGAAAAGAAAGAGGTGAAAAGAAAAGGTAAAAGTGAAAGTGAAAGAAGCTGATAGAGGACAATAAAAGAACGGAGTTAAAGGAGACAGGAGATGAGGATTGGTACTAAATTTAATGTTTTGAAGGTCGTGGATGGCAGAAAAGCAATTATCCGGAGGAGATTTACACAAGATATTTCAACAGTAAAACGATATGGCGCAACTACCAATCAAGAACTGCGCTTAAATTCAGGAAGTCGATGTTACCAAAGAGACTAACTCTTCAGAACAATTACCGTCAAAATATTAATAGAAAAGGAAGAGGGAAGCCACTTTACGGCGATGGCAAAGTGATTGAGACCTAGATTCCAGGTCAGGATCGATAATATTGCAGATTTTTTTGATTTTCTCAAGTATCTCTAGATATATAGCAGAAGCATCAGGCTAACTGTGACAGCAATATTCGATGCACGGATGAATGGTAGACTTATAAATATGCACCCGGGCGAGAAAAAATTGTCTTTCACGGCACAGTGAATCAACATTGGAAGATTTCCAGAAAATCTGTGATTGCATCCAAAATATTTACGTAGAAACTGTCTATAATATACAAATGTCTAACGCTGGGCAGCTGAGTGTCTTCGAGAAAAAAATACTTCATGAATCCAGCCGGGCTACAACATTTGTCAAAAACTAAACAAAAATAAGATAAAGATATTTTCTCCAGCTGTCATTATCAGTGCTTGGTTCAAAATCTTTTGAATACCAAACATCAGTGGACACTTTTCAAGTAATAAAAGCAGGAACGTCGCGTACTACCCCTGAGATCCACGACCGAAGGGGCAAGCCTGATTGGGGGAGCCGATGAGTACTTTGTGACACTCACTATCTAATCTACATTTTTTATTTTTTCTAACTACATTCATATACATTACAAATTAAACTAAGCACAACTGACGATTAAAGAATAAAAGATTTTCGAGGATTTTGACGCATTATGTGTTGTTTGTTGTTTGTTGTTTTTTGTTTTGTTTTTTTGTCCAAATCAGTGTATTTCTTTTGCTCACGCTAAGTCTGGTCTGGAAAAGCACAATATGAAGATTATTATTTTTATCTATAATGTTGAATATGTTAAATCATTTAACTTTGTAACAAATTGATGTTAAATCTTATCGCAAAACATTGTTTATTTAAGATGAAATGGTATATTAAGGCATATATTTGTTTTCAATTTTTCTAGTTGAATTGTTCACTTATATTGCATATGATTGAGATATAGTTCAGTAAAAAAAATGCAATGATAACAGCAAAAATTGCAATATGACCACTGGTAAAAATGGTTGCTGAAGACTTTAGGTTTATAATGCCCTGAAATTCATACTCAGATGTCGTCAAAGACACATGGCACAGTAGATAAAGGCGGTTGTTAGATCCAGTGACAGGACCCAAAGAATATGAGTTCAATACTCACTGATAACTGACATCCATTAAACATGACACGTGGAACTAGAACAGTCTACCCCAGTGAGCGAAATAAAGTGTCCACCTGAAAAAAGGCCGGAGCGTACAACAGCCGAAACGTTATGATAAATATGGGAACAAAGATGAGGATGATAGTTCGAACAATGTAAATAGTGAAATATAGACAGATCTTTTTATTTCATTTGTTTATTGGTATTGTATTATCTTTTTTTTTCTTTTCTTTACATGTGTTTTTTATTAATTTTTGTATATTTGCTCTAGTTCTAAGATTTGGTATTTAAAATAGAGCTTATTAGATTTAAGTTATACTCTATCATTTGTTTAGACTTTTGAGTCATGATGTGCCGAATAATGTTCCCCATAAAAGTCCCCAGTTTTTATCCGCAGACACATATAACACACACACACACACACACACACACACACACACACACACACACACACACACACACACACACACACACACACACATATATATATATATATATATATTTCAATTAAAAGGTGCAATTATAATTTATAAATTCATGAATCATTCATACAAAAAAAAATATAGAGGTTAATGATTTAAATGGCGAGAATACATCATCGCAAACAATATAAATAAGATACACCAACCCCGAACCTGTATATGAATGATATGATCCCTGTTCATAAATTCCAGTTGCATAAGGTCTTTTAATTTTTTACAAGCTTTCGTCTGTTCCTACAGACATCCTCAGGTATGGAAATAGATTTTGTTCTTGTTTTTACTTCTCGGTAATAAGAGGACAACGAAAATAGAGATGTAATCCGAAAAAATGCTATGAGAAATGTGTTATTGTTTTAAAACGTGCGGTCGCAACGCTGAGTTTGAATTTAAATTTTAAGGTTGTGCGTTTTTGTATGAATGATTCATGAATTTATAAATTATAATTGCAACTTTTAATTGAAATTAAATAACTGATCCAACGTGCAACTTTCGGATAATAAGTGTGACATTACTGTAATTATTGAACAATATAGTTCATGCCACATTTACGGAAAATCTACCAGTAAAAAAGAATTCTCTTATTGCTATATTTGTACAAAAACGGGGTTGGTGTATCTTATTTATATTGTTTGCGATGATGTATTCTCGCCATTTAAATCATTAACCTCTATATTTGTTTTTTGTATGAATGATTCATGAAGTTATATATATATATATATATATATATATATATGCTTATACAAACTTGTGCAAGTTAATTGAAACAACCGCTTTAGTTTCCTTTCTTTCACCATAAGGTCAGTTTTAAACCGACTTGGGCGTAATCGATTTCTATTTTTCCTCCCATTAAGTCATGTTCAGTATTGTGCAGTAATATGAATCTATTTTCGGGGCGTATGATGGAATTTATTTGGCCTTGAAAAATACTGCGTCACCCGTGACTGCGTCATATATTTATCACGCCAAGACACTATTATCTCAACTGTCGATTAGTTGTCCGATGGCCATTTTCTGTGATAGACCTTACTCCAAGGAAGACAAAAACTGTAACGCTGTACGAACAGACTGGGAAGCCTTACCAGTGAGCAAAACAAAGTACAATAGACAGGCCCGAAAACTCTCCTGATTTAAATCCAATCGTGAATTTGTAGTCTGCAAGGAATGACTCCGTGGAATGGACATACGAAGTACTAACATGTGCACTAGGTCATGTTTCATTGGAAAAATACGAAAATAAGTAAATAATAACGGAATTATTCGATTTATTCAATTTAATTTGCACAAGGCTGTATGTTCACAAACAAACCTATGATAACAAACGAATGTTTTCTTATTGTCATGTCCCTGTAGAACATAGCTAACGCTGCACAAACACACTGGCAAGCCTTACCAGTGAGCAAATCAAAGTACTATAGATTGGCCCGGAAACTCCCGATTTAAATCCAATTGAGAATCTGTGGTCAATCTGCAAGGAGACGACGTAAGAAAGGAACATGTGCAATGGGTCATGTTTCATTGGGAAAATACGAAAAAATAAGTAAATAATAACGGAATTATTCGTTTTGTTTCAATTAATTTGCACAAGGGTGTATATGTGTTTATAAAGATAAAAAAGACAAATAAAATTTTAAAAAAGACTAAATAAAATAAAAAGAAAATAAGAAGCTTGAGGTTATTTATTATGTCATCGATAAGTTTGAGAGAGACAAAGAAAATGGAAAAATATGGTCACTGATGTTAATTGTCTATTTTCCATTTTGTTTCCCAATCCAGATCAACTGAGTCGGCGTCTATTTGATAAAGATTTGCCAAGCGTTGGCATTGCATTCGATTCTATCGTCCAGCGCTCGATTCACGGTACAATCATCTGTATTAATATTTCTATTATAGCCGTTGCCTTTTATAGATCCTCTGTTGTTAGCAATGGTGATTACATCTCCAGCCTTTACTGGTTCCCTCGATAGTTTATCGTTATAGTTAATAATGTAAAATTCGTACTCGTCACAGCCTCCGTTGGGACCAAAAGTAAATGATCCAGCTTTTTTAGGACAAGTATAAGTCATACAGTAAGTTGGGTAACAAATGAACCAGCGATAATGATAGTTCGTTTTACGGTAATACATAGCGATTTTATCACCGAATCTGATGGCTTTTCCTTTTTTCCCGTTTTGGTAATTTCCATAAATAAGCAATGACTGACCGGCACAAGAATTCCATTCACTGGAAGTCACGTGGTCTCCTTTAATGCAATGGTTCAGGTAAGCCCGGCCGTAATATAAACTGGCTTGAACAGCGTCAGTGTACTGCACGCTGAGCCACTCCTGAGAGTAAGCCATGTTGCGTAGGGCGATTCTGTCACCGGAGCGAAGATATTTGCAACGACTTTTCGACTCGTCTGCTGCATCAAGACAGTCATCATTTCCATCGCAAACCCGAGAAAGGGAAATGCATTTATTGTTGTTACATTTAAATTTGCCGTATTTCTCCTGGCAACAATCTTCGACGAAACATTTTCGTACCTGTTTTGACGGCCCTTTGCATTTTTCACTGTCAGATTGTCCCAGACATCTCCGTCTTCGAGACTGGGTAGCATTACCACAAGTGGAAGCGCAAGCACTCCACTTAGACCACCTGGACCAACTCGCTTCACACTTGGGTGTGGCGCTCCATTGCAAGTTACCATTCACATTGACGCATTCAATGCTCTTCGGCACTGCTGCCCTGCCACCATCGCAAGACAGTTTCACTTTCATGCCTTCGAAACTCAGAAAAGCCCCACATCCGGTTTGGGAAAGATTAGTGACATTCAGGGGCGGGCAACTTGTGTGTTCCCAGTATCTAGCATAACTACGCATGCGTCTTTTCGAATCTCGTACTAATTGTTTAGCATTTTCGAGCGTCCGTTTCATGTTTTCCGGATTGAGATAATTGCTTTCGAAGCTGTAATAGGCCAGGATAGATTCGGCAGCAGTGATGTCTAATCGGCTAAGACGTTCTAACAATATCGTTGCCTCGCTTCCATATTGTGTACTACAAGCATCTCTGTTAGAAGCGATCATCCTTTTAAAGGTATTAAAGAAATCCTTACCTCGGATATCAGTAAATCCTTCTGCAAGAATTGCGTTTGATAATTGTTGAAAGATGAAGTCAATCGGATTAAGTGACAAGAATGCCTTCATTCTCCGACTGAAGGCATCCACGGTAATTTTCTTTTTACTGTAACTAAAGCTGATCTTGAGTATATAATCCAGTTTTTGCAAATCGCTGATATATTTCAGCAAAATATGTGTCAACTCAAACTGATTGTCAATCCTTTGTATCATCTTTTTAAGTTGTTTGGCTATATTTTCCCCTTGGATCAAAACATTTGTCAACGAAGGAACGCTAAATGCATTTTTATATCCGCTTTGAAGATCAGAAATGAGTTTCGAAATATCTCGTTTCATTTGTATCTTTTTGTCACACATTTTCCCTTCGTAATTATTGTGACAAAAGCATTGGAATTGATCTGTGTAAGGGACCACTTTACACTCGCCATGACCGTTACAGCGATGATTACATGGGTTACCTGACGCTTTGAATCCTGCAGCTACCCAGAAGATATCGGTTTTCTTCTTCTCTATTTCTTCACGCATAGGCTCTCGTCGATCGATAAATGCTTTCACCTGTGGGTATTGATCATTACGGCATTTATTTTTGTTTAACATGTTGTTAGGAGTGAAAACGTGACTCTGATGACACGACTTACATATAGTAAGGACGGCGACAGTGTTGGCTTTCTGAATATCTTCACATTGTGAATTTTCTTTGGAGCCTTGCCAAATCACGACAAGGTTCGAACCATGTGGCCCAACCGCTTCCATTTCATAAAATTGGTTCCCTAAAGTCGAATTTCTTTGGCTTGCAAGCAGTTTTTTGACAGTTACGATCGACCAGCTGTACCAAGGATATTTTCTAGAAAGTTCACTATTAATTTTTGTTAGTACTGTAGTAATTCCAAATTTAGCATTTGCCTTGACAATATCTGTGATATCTTTCTTGGAGTGGGCGATCGTAGTTTCTTTGCAGTGCCAAACGCGGGATTGATACATATTTCTTATAAATATCAAAGCATTAAGATATTTTTTAATTTCTGGAGGATCCATTTGTTTAAATGAATTATAAGCTAAAACTAATTGAGTACCTTGATAAAAAATTCTTCTGACGTGCATATAAATTCGTGTTAATCTAACAAAATCACAACCTGCTTCGTCAATCAGTTCGTTAAACAACATGTTTTGATGAACTGCATCGGTTGTTGTGGTCAGTTTAATGAGATTGTTAATGTTTGATTCGATTTGGTTATTTTCAAAGAATAAGATAAAATTTTCAGCTATAAGTCGTCGTTTATTGATATCCGTTTCTTCCACCATTGCCTTGTAGGTTTCAATCAGTTTTTCGATTCCATTTTTCACAGAATATTGCCAAGGAATGTAATTCGATAACAGTCCCTGAAGCTCAACAGAGTTGTCTAACTTGTCTAATTTATCGTTTATTTGGTCCAGTTTTCTGTTAACTCCGGTAAACATGTCGGAAATGACTTGCAGATCTGAGGTTGTTGTTATGACTGATAAGAGGCTTAAGAAGCCACTCATTACACTAAAGACACTAAGAAGCGACTTCATATTATTACCAAGTTTAGACAATTTAGCTGAATTCTTTTTATTTTTCTCCTTCATGGACTCTAATGTGCTATCAACGTCAGCTTCTGCCACTTCGAGGGTGGTGAGAAGGAAAATCGTTGGCGTTTCCAATTGTTTCACTGCAGGAGTTACTATTTCGGTTGAATTTGGTCTTTTTATTTCTTCAGGAATTTTTGGTCTCGTGGTATGGCTCTCTGGGGGTGCTGCGTTGGCCGCCCACAAAAGCAGCGTAAACAAAAGGATCACACACCGCGACGTCCCCATCATTTTGAATGACTTCTTAGCTAAAAAAAAAGACAAAATGAGAAACAATGAAAATGGCGCTTAATTAAAGTCATTGAAATGAACAAGGCAGACGACATTTTGATACTCGTGAAAAAGGATGCTTTAACATATACAGAATGATCTAAAGGCATCAGATCTAATATATTCTTTTTCTTCTACGCCTCTTCAGGATGCGTGAAATCATAGTTCTTCATAAATTCCTATCTTTTGTGACACATAGCAGGGCCCCTCTCTTTGTTAAGTCATCTAGCCAACATTCCGTTATCCATTCACACAACCTCTTCAGGTAGGAAGCCCACTACCGTCCCCCTCCCTCTTTCTCTCTCTCTCTCTCTCTCGCCCTCGATATGCCCTTTGAGTGTTAGGTTTTTCAAACCCTCTTTCCTCATTAAGTAACCAAGAAATGTCAACTGTCTGTTTCGGTTTGTATGAGTACACGTGTTCTTTTTTTGTTGTTACCCTTTGCTTTAAAACTTCCTCGTCACTTACTCGGTCGAAATTCTTAGTATCCTTCTGTAGAACCACATTTCTGTTACCTCCTGTTTTCCCTTCATTTGTGTCGAGATTGTCCAACATTTACTGCCATAGAAAAGGATTTTTCTCAAATAGCTATTTAGCACACTTTTCTTTTTTTTAAAAAATGTGGAAGCTTCCATGTGGCGCAGGGTGGGGTGTGCTGACAGACTGAAATACCCGCCTTTCTCTAATTCACGTACACGAGAGATACGAAAAGAAAAGGCTAAGTATATCACTGACTGACAGAAAAAAAATAAGGAAGTTGAATTCTCTCATTACCCGATCGCAATGGCAGACTAAGAGGTTATAGAATTTAATTTTCTTTTTCTTTCAAGAAGCCTTTTACCATCATTTGTATGAAGGAATTGCATATTTTCCCGCCCAGACCATAAGTCGGCATTGGAGCCTCAGCAAAAATCACAATTTGAATTGCTATACGGCTAATTAAGCGGTAGTTACAACACGTTCATTACTTAGATCACTCTCCGTTAAATTACTCCTTCTTGTATTATCAGCGAAGTTAAGCAATAACAAGCTAAGTCAGTACCTTGCTGGGTGGCCACTTCGGAATACCAGGTGACTTAAACTTGGGTGCGCGGTTGGTGTAAAGGATAACGTCTTTGAATTGGAAAATCAAAGAGCTCAGTTTCAATTCCCGTTGGGCGCGTTATAGTTCACTTACTCGCAAATATTCTTGGGAAAGCTATGATTCCAACTTTTCTCACCCCAGCTATGGGTTAATTAGTAAGAGTTGAATAAATAAATCATTAATATCTTTAAAAGTTTAATACAATATAAAAGCATTTTTTGGCTGTAAATAAACTGCAATGTTTTGAAAAGCCGTAAAAAAACAACCAATCAAAAAATCAGAGAAAAAACTTAAGCAAATTAAAAGAGTTCTTAATGATTTGGGAAATAGAAAAAAATAGTTCGATGAATTAAGTGATTATTTAAAAATAAAATGGTGAAACGCTTCTTTAAACATGGGAAATATTTCACTGAATTGTGAAAATAGTTAATTAAAAGAAGAAATAATTAAACTGAAGAGAATTTTTCCCTTGGAAACCGTTTGCTTATTTCTGTTGTCAATGTCTACATCCGTAACTTTATTGAAATCATTTTAAAGAAATCTTTAGTTCATAATTTAATTTGTGAATAAAGAAATATTCGAATTATTCTTCTCTTATTTGCTATATTGTCAATCACGAGACATAAAACAGTAGACTAAAATTAAATTAGTTTTTGTTAAACGGTGAAAATGTATTATTAATGTTTCATTGAATTGGAGAAATATGTTATTAAATAAC